ATCTTCAAGGCAATTCAAAGGGAAAGGGAGAGGGCCAGAGGAGCAAGGTGCAACTTAAATTTAAATAATCATGCTTTGTGAAAGCAAAGACAAGATTTCAATTCTACAAGAAAAAGATTCACTGAAACAAAGCATAAATATAGACACAAGAAGCTGTATGACATGTAATGGATAAAGAGATAGAACATTAGAACCTTCAGATATGACAAAGTGACAATAAGTTTTTATTTTTTATCTTTTATTTTTTTAAAAAAAGAAAACTCTTCTGTGCAAAAGTGCATATATCTAAGTTGCATTAATTTTAGCCTAAAACATAAATAGCTAGGATTAAAAGGTTTAAAAATATACTAAAGTAATACCAAAGCACAAAAAAACAAATCCATTGTCAATAAACAAAATGTGCATTACATTGTAATCATCAAGCCTCAAATATTAAAAAGATTGAGATTATTATCAAATGCACAATAACAAGCTTAATAAAAAAGTGAAAGAAATTATGTGAAATTCTATCTCATGTACAATTAAATCAGCAGAATGAAGGTACGTGCAAAAAATCTGAAAAACTAAAAGGAATAAAAAAAAAGTGAAAGATAATCTACATAGATGCTCTGTAATTTTCGAGAGGCAAGAACTTGGCATTTTCAGTATATCCAAAATACAAGAGATGAGATACAAAGGTGAACTTTGGAAAAGCTGACCTGTCTTCAGCATAGTAAATGTGTCTCTTTGATGGATGATTATCAAGAGAATGCAGCATTGCAGTTAGCTTCTCAACTTTCTGCAGAAGATAAATACAAAGTTAATAATAAGTACAATTAAATTAATAACAAGAATCATTTAGAATAAATTATAGAGGCCTTGATAGAGTATCATTAAACTAACCTTTTTCTCGCTTTGTAATTTCTGAAGTATATATCCTATGTCTTGGGTCTTCATCAACATGAGTTCTTCTTGGGTGTATTTGTTTGCCTGACTCCTAAGAAAAGAAATTCAAAGACAAGAAAGTAGGAGATAAAAAAAAAAAAAAAGGCTCAGAAGTCATTTAGTGTAATAGGATAATGGTAAAGGAGATATAAGCTTTGTATGTTTCTTACTCTGGCTTATGAACTCCATCAACAGTTCTTGTTTTGATCATCTTGAAGTAAAACTCATCTGGGTTCCTAAACGCAGCTTTCTCCCTGAGTTTCTATAGAGCAAAGAGACAAAAAGAAAGAACTAATCAAAAGCTTCAAAGGAAAAAAGGGACAAATCTCGAACAAGCTTTACAGCAATAAACACTAGCAGCAGGGAACTAATCAGCCATAACATTTACCAGTAAAGTCTCCTCCTTCTTGTGGTATGCCTTTGCACGGACAACATAATCCTTGTGTTTTTCAAGAAGCCCAAATTTTCTCCTCGCATGTCTAACACAAATGGTATATCAGTGGACAATAATAATATACCAAGGAACTAGAACAAAGAAATTGAAAGGAAATAGGTTCACTCACGGTTGAGCTCTCTCCTTGTGAGCTCGTCTGTTAATGGCGTTCCTTAGGGACGACATCTTCAGTGCAATAGAAAGCAATCACCGAGAGGTAACTTAGGAAACCCAAGTGATGTTTTACAGGGCAACCCCACTTCAGAGTGTGCTGCAAATTCACTAAAAAAACTCAGAATCTAAGTAAAACCCAAGATTGCAATTGTCTACAAATCAATGGAAATATACGTTTAAACAAATATATATTGAAAAAAAAAAATCATGCCCCCTTTGTAAATTTCATTAAAAACTCAAAACTTTGAAAAC